CATAGATGTTTTCATTAAAAACTCTAACAAATGCTCAATTATAATTATTAATCTCAAGTAAAATTATTATTCATTTATTTCGTAAAAAGCAGAAAACGTTAAATACAAATAATTTTAATTAGCAAATGTTTAAAATCATTTTTATATAATGTTCGCTATTATTATACATTCAGAAAGAAGAAAATATAATAAAAAATAATACAAATTAGTTAATAACTTAATATTAAAAATAGTAAAATCGTGTAATATGATATTATTTATTAGAATATATTCATATGGAGAAAGACAATATATATTACAGATAAATGCTGAGGTTTTCAAGCTACTTGAAAACTCAATTGAATAGTTAAAGATAATGGTAAAAACTAGAAAATGAGAAAAATAACATAAAACATCAGTTACAAATGTAACCTCTTTTCATTTTCGAAAACAAATAATTTTATTAAAAAATAACTATTTTATTGTATTTATAAATAAATTTTAATTAATATCACTTTCTTGTATTTTCTAAACAGAAAATAAATTTAAACCCGGTTGAAATATCTTTAATCTGAACAGAATAAACACCATTTATTCGGATAAGAAATACTTTCACTTAAACCAATTACAATCTTTCATTAAGTATTTATATAATCATAAAAAACCGTTTAATTTAATATGTATACTAAATAATTTCACTTGTAATCATACAAATATTTCAATTACAATTGTAATTCCTAGGTAAACAACTGAAAGTATATAGTATATACTTTAAAAAATAAAGCGAAAATTAGAATATTTACGAGATGAACTTTCTCTTTGATAATAGTCAAGTAAGAGCCTTATTTTCAGGTCACGGTGTTACTAACAGGACGTGGTGGGATGGCGAATGGCCTCGCTGTCTCTACAAAATTCCACAAGAGTCCTACGACGGTAACACAACGTGGCGAGATCATGCCGCCACTAAAATAAGCATGAAACCAATTTGTTGTAAGAGAAAGTGCGGATACTCAGGTAAGAGCATTATTTTCAGGTTGCGTGTTACTAACAGGACGTGGTGGGATGGCGAATAGCCTCGCTGTCTCTACAAAATGGCACAAGAGTCCTACGAGGGTAACACAACGTGGCGAGATCATGCCGCCACTAAAATAAGCATGAAACCCATTGGGCGTAAGAGAAGGATACTCAAGTAAGAGTTTTAATTTCAGGTGACGTGTTATTACTAATGGTTTGTGATAGTTTACTTTTTGTTTCGTTTTAATAGTTTAAATTTCTTATATGACATTTGTTTATTTACATGAATTTTATTATAAATTAAATACAGTATATCTATATATTATAGTTATATTGTATCTATTATATAATAATATATGTTAATATACAAATATGTTATTATGAATTATTTATGTTTTGAAAGTAATTCTATATTCGTTGCTATGATTAATTATAAATGACAAATTTGCACTGAGAATTTCGATAAGAACAATTAATTGGAGTGACAACCATTGATTTGTTTAGGAAATGATTTCAGTTTACTGAATAAATCGAATAGCAACGAATATCCAGTTTTATTCTCTGATTGTTACTCTGTCAAGCAATCAGGGCCAGTTTCTGGAAACTAAAAAACTACCACAAAATGGGTGTCGCCTTGACGTGGCTTTGTGGCTTAATGTGTGAACATTTTATTTAAGTTTTAAATATAAAATTTTCCACAAACTAAGTGCACCGGACAGAAGTTTTGTTTCATAGAAGTTGAGTATAAGAATGAATGGTAGATGTGGACTGTTTACAGAAGCCAATGATGATTTAACTTATTTTCACAATCATTGTTAAACTTTAGCAAAATTCCCATTACTTGTCCAAGGTAAGAAACAGTTTTTTTGAAATTAAAAAATTTTTAGTATTTCAGGATTATCTGAAACTCTGTTGTTAATTATTGTCGAAAACTTGCATACTAACGGGATAGGATATTTTCTGCATGATACTGTCATTTTTCAGTTCTGATCTTGTAAAAGAAGTGGTGAAAAGTAACGCTGTGTTTTATAAACATATCGAAATATCAGTTGATCAGAGCTAGAGATGTCGTGTTAAACATATATTATTATTTTACCCTTTATAATTCACTTTATAGTAGCTAAGAAGACACAAGTTTATAGGCTACTAGCATTTCGAGTGGATTTGTCAAAGCCCACTCATATAGGTTAATTCTCAACAGGCTGTCTGGATGTTAGGTCCTTTACTACTGGACCGCTCCAGTTACCTGCCTAGCTGTAGGGGTCACGTAAATATGTTGTCATCAATTTTAAGTCCTTTTTTGACTACCTATCACACCTGTTACATTTTGTCATCAAATTTTAGGCATTCCCCCATAGTAATGTTACGTTTGATCTGTCATCAGGGGCCATATTCTGGTCACCGTCTCTGGTCTCTCACAAGNGACAACCATTGATTTGTTTAGGAAATGATTTCAGTTTACTGAATAAATCGAATAGCAACGAATATCCAGTTTTATTCTCTGATTGTTACTCTGTCAAGCAATCAGGGTCAGTTTCTGGAAACTATAAAACTACCACAAAATGGGTGTCGCCTTGAAGTGGCTTTGTGGCTTAATGTGTGAATGTTTTATTTAAGTTTTAAATATAAAATTTTCCACAGACTAAGTGCACCCGACAGAAATTTTGTTTCATAGAAGTTGAGTATAAGAATGAATGGTAAATATGATCCGTCTGGATGTCAGGTCCGGCAGATCCTTTACCGCTCCAGTTAAGTGCCTGGCTGTAGGAGTCACGTAATTATGTTGTCATCAATTTTAAGTCCTTTTTTGACTACCTATCACACCTGTTACATTTTGTCATCAAATTTTAGGCATTCCCCCATAGTAATGTTACGTTTGATCTGTCATCCCGATAAAATCAAGCAGTTAGTTATAGACGTTTGGATCTACTGTACTTTAATTTATTGAAATTTTCTGCCAACGCGAGAATAGAGAAATTGCGGCCGTCGTATTCAGCCCAAAATCACATTACCGTGCTATGTTTTTACCGCTGATCATTACGCCATTATTCTTTGTATTCAAACTTTTGTTATAATTTAGTATAATTTAATTACTACCATTGTATCGAATTAGAACAACTACGGACAGATCAGTGTTTATATATGAGATTGTTGCTCTTGCGAAAAATTACTCAGTTTCGTAATTCCTTTTTTTTTTTCGTTTCGAAGTTTCTTTTAGGAATTACAGAACAAAAAAATTAGCGTATTCACGTAAGGATTCGCCTCCGATTATGCGGAACCGCGATTAATCGGGGTTTAGCGTATACGAAAATAAAACTTAAATCGAAATAACTGTCAATTTTGAAACTATTTCAATAACAATCTTTACAAATTTAAAACGTATCATTGATATTTAATTAACTATAAATAATTCACGAAGCCATTTAAGTTTACAAAATGAATGAATTTTGACAGAACCGAGGGGGTTAGTTGTCCCCACTTACCGGCGGCTCTGTCAGAGGATGGCTTTATAGGAGGGCAAAATAAAATTGAGTGGGGAGGTCAGTGAGTAAGTTGACAGATTCCCAAATGAATACACAGGTTGAACAAGAATAACACATTTAATAAACAACTATAAAATTGTACATATCAAAAGCTAAGGTGAAGATCTACAAAATTCTATTCTATGTCGCGACAATGATTCGTCTTTCATATAAAACATCTAATATCTATTCTCTAAGTTAAGAGACGAGAGAGAGAGATCTCTAGAAAAGAGATTTCTCAGAGGGAGAATTCGCAGAGAGATTTCGCAGAGAGAGAGTATACAAATAGATATCCAAAAACAAATACCGTACCTCTAAGTTCCCGATCCGTAATATGGGTCGTTGGTAAAAACGTTCCTGGATCGTCACGGCAGTATGGCGGTATTGGTCAGTAGATGTGGCAGTCGATGTCCGCCTTGTGAATGTCCCTCTTGTGAATGTCCGCCTTTTGGGGATGGCCGCGCTGTGGACTGCGTCCAAACCCTCTTTATACTATTTTTGAGGGGGTGAGAACTATGACATCATTCATGATTTTTACGCACACCTGTTAGTGTGTTGATGTACTGACAATTGACACAGAGAAGTTTGTTTAATTTATTGCTATCAGCGTCTAGAAGATATGATTTTATAATATAAATTTCTATAGGTTTGACGGCTCTCATCCATAAATTAACATTCCTCTGACAATAATTTCTTTAACCTGGTCAACTATCTAGATATTGTTTATATCAAACGTCGCGTTTGACTACGAAGGAGGCGATTTATTGCCGTAACCACATGTCACGTGCAACCAAAGAGGGGGTAAAAACATCTCTTATTCCCGTCTTGTTGATATTAANTTTATAGGCTACTAGCATTTCGAGTGGATTTGTCAAAGCCCACTCATATAGGTTAATTCTCAACAGGCTGTCTGGATGTTAGGTCCTTTACTACTGGACCGCTCCAGTTACCTGCCTAGCTGTAGGGGTCACGTAAATATGTTGTCATCAATTTTAAGTCCTTTTTTGACTACCTATCACACCTGTTACATTTTGTCATCAAATTTTAGGCATTCCCCCATAGTAATGTTACGTTTGATCTGTCATCAGGGGCCATATTCTGGTCACCGTCTCTGGTCTCTCACAAGCCGGTCGCTGATTGGCTAATCTAAATGATTAGCCAATCAGCGACCGGCTTGTGAGAGACGGGGTGACCAAAATATGGCCCCGGGTCATCCCGATAAAATCAAGCAGTTAGTTACAGACGTTTGGATCTACTGTACATTAATTTATGGAAATTTTCTGCTAACGCGAGAATAGAGAAATTGCGGCCGTCGTATTCAGCCCAAAATCACATTACCGTGCTATGTTTTTACTGCTGATCATTACGCCATTATTCTTTGTATCCAAACTTTTGTTATACTTTAGTATAATTTAATTAGTACCATTGTATCGAATTAGAACAATTACGGACAGATCAATGTTTATAGATGAGATTGTTGCTCTCACGAAAAATTACTCAGTTTCGTAATTCCTTTTTTTTCGTTTCGAAGTTTCTTTTAGGAATTACAGAACAAAAAAAATTAGTGTATTCACGTAAGGATTTGCCTCAGATTATGCGGAACCGCGGTTAATCGGGGTTATAGCATATACGAAAATAAAACTCAAAACACTGAAATCGAAATAACTGTCGATTTTAACTATTTCAATAACAATCTTTACCAATTTAAAATGTATCATTGATGTTTAACTATAAACAATGCACGAAGCCATTTAAGTTTACAAAATAAATGGCTTTTCTTTATTTAATGATCTTCGAAGCTAACAACACTGCCCGAGATTCTTAGAAAAGCTTTTTTATTTATTAATGTAACAAACAATATGAAAAATGTACAGCTTATTAGGATTATTACAGACAAACAGGAGAGAAATTAAAAGAAAATTTTCTTTTTAACACAAACAGTTATTCTTTAGGAGCCACTTCCGGTTTCTCCCTCACTGAAGGAGCTCTCTGCACGGTTATAGGAACAACTCTTTCGTTAGACGGTAATTCTTCGCGTTTTTTAGGCGCTTNTTGATATTAACGTCTATAAAATTACCTTTAAACAAATGGAGGAGATTTCGTTTATTGATATACTAACGATTTTTTTCGAGGAGATCATCTCGGTCATTGACCGCAGAAGTCCCTCTTTTTCCCTTTTTACCTAATCACGAAGTTTATTAGAAAAGTGATATTGTTCTAAAACAAAAGGGTTTTGGATCGTCAAAGAATTAGCTTCGAAGATCATTAAATAATGAAAAAAAACTGCCCGAGATTCTTAGAAAAGCTTTATTTATTAATTTAACAAACAATATGAAAAAACGTACAGCTTATTAGGATTATTACAAACAGGAGAGAAATTGAAAGAAAAATTTTTTTACAGTTATTCTTTAGGAGCCATTTCCGGTTTCTCCCTCACTGCAGGGACCCTCTGCACGGTTATAGGAACAACTCTTTCGTTAGACGGTAATTCTTCGCGTTTTTTAGGCGCTTCCACCGTCAACACTCCGTCGCCACTCAGAGACGACGTCACCTTCTCGGGATCGACTTCCTTAGGAAGGACGTATCTGCGGGTAAACTCTCTGGACACGAACCCGTGTTGATCCATCTTCTCCTCGTGTTTTCCGTGTATCACCACGCAATTGTCCACGGTTTTGACGGTGATGTCTTCCGGAGAGAAGTGGCTGACGTCGGTCATGACCCGGAAGTGGTCTTTGGTGTTGACTACTTCGGAAACACCGGAACTAGAATCTTGAACACTCGTCTGGCGTCGC